AACCTATTTGTGGAATTTGTGGTAGGGTGCAGCTCAGGGGCGAGCACTTGTCCAGCATGCAGCAGCCCCCAGGTTCCACCCTCAGCATCAGGAAAAAAAGAAAATCACAAGAAGAACACTGAATTTCTAGAAGATCATAGGAAATATGTGTTTGCAGGAGGCAGGCAAATAGCTCAGTGGAATAAGTGCTTGCCTGGCAAGTGCCAGGTCCTGAGTTCAATCCCTGGTACCGCCAAAAAAAAAAAAAATGTGTTTGCTAAAAACAAAACAAAACAAAATTTATTAGCCAGGGTCTGGATATGTAGCTCAGGCTGACCTTGAACTCCTGGCCATCCTCCTGCCTCAGCCTCTCCAGCACTCCTGTTTGTTTCTGTAATCTCCACATTCCCAGTTAGAAAAGGACTTTTGAGGGGTTTTTTGAGACAGGGTCTCACTATGCAACTCAGGCTGGCCTTGAGCTCACTTTGTAGCCCAGGCTGGTCTTGAACTTGCAACGATCCTCCTGCCTCAGCCTCCCAAGTGCTCCACCATGCCCGGTAGAAAAGGATATTTTAACATGGTCTGAGCCTGAATCTTTTTACAAGGATCAAGACATTTATTCAGCCTTTGTCTGGGGGCCCACACCTGTGACCCCCAGCTATTCGAGAGGCTCGGGCAGAAGGACCAAAGTCTGAGCCCAGCTGTATCTATTAATAAGATCCAGTCGTATAATAATTTAAAAAATTAAAGGCTAGGGATGTAGCTCAGAGGAAGAGCGGCCCTGTGTCCCATCCATAATATAATTTAATTAATTAAAAAGAGACCAGTGGAGTTAGTTTTAATAGTTATCTTTTTAATTTAACCTAATAAATCCAAAATAGTTGTTGTTTTCTTGAGATAGTGCCTCCCTGTGCAGTTCAGGCCAGCCTCAAACTCATTTTGTAGTACAGGCTGCCCTCAAACTCACAGAGATGCTGTGCCTCAGCCTCCCAGGTACTGGGATTACAAGCACACACCACCATGCCTTTGAAATCTAGTGTTTCTTCCCATGTCTAGTGCTGAACTGGAACCCAGGCCCTCACACATACTAATAAATATTCTACCATAAAATGCATCCTCAGCCCTTTTTATTTGTTAATAATTTGATATGGGGGGGTACAGGGAGATGGCTCAGTAGAATAAGTACTTCCCTGGCAAGCACAAGGGCCTGAGTTCAATCTCTGGTTCCGCCAAAAAAATAAATAATAAAATAAATAACTTGATACGGGTCTCAGAAAGTTGCCTGAGTTATGCTCAAACTCATGATCTTCCTGCCTCAGCCTTTGGAGCGGCTGGGATCACAGCGTGTATCACCAAACCAGGTCCCCTCTGTGGACCCGATGAATGTGCCCAACTCTGTGTGCTAAAGGCTCTGTCCTCAAGGTGGCGCTATTGGAACGACTGTGGGTCTTCCTATGGGACGCTTTGTGGTCCACCGGGCCTGCAGAACGGAGCCTGATTCTTCCTCTTTATTTCCTGGCCCCTGACGTCACCGGTTTGCTCTAGCATGATACTTTGAAGACAAGCCCAGAGAAAAAGGCCGCCTGATCTTGGACTGAAACGTGTAGAACTGTGAACCAAAATAATATTTTCTCTTTGAGTTAATTGCCCACAGGGATTGCATTACGGTAACTCAAAACTAAGGAATTCAGCTCACCCTGCGGTGATTTCCTTAATCTCGAGGCTGCTGCTCGGCCTCTGTTTTACTGCTAAGAACGCTGCCCCATAGACTGGCTCAGTTACAGTGAAGAACTGGCCGTGAACTCACTATGTGGCCCAGGCAGAACTTGAATTCAAGGAAACCCTCCTGCCTCAGCCTCCCTGAAGTGCTGCGATGACAGCTGTGCCCCAGCTGGGCGCCTATATTTTAGGCTTTTCAGTTTTTCTGCTAAGCAAGTTATCTACAGTGTCCCCAAACCAGTTCCTCAACTCCTGCACAGATCAAATTTCTAGAAAAACAATGAAGTTGATTCTGCGAAAATGGAACAATAGAATCTTGTGTTATGAAGAAAAATTCCCGGGCCTTGCATGCTGAAGACAGAACTGTATTCCCACTGATCCATAAATGTTATTTTTTTTTTTAAATAATTGGATTTATATACGGGATCTGTTTTCTCCTGCTTACAAAACAGACGTGTGTTCATTGCAAAAGAAATTCAAATGTTAGAGAAATATGCAATGTGGAAAATACAGGCCAGGAGGCTGGGTACAGCGACACACGCCTGTAATCCCAGAACTCAGGAGGCTGAGGCACGAGGATCGCCTCAAGAGGCAAGGCTGGACTACACAGGGTGACTCTGTTGCAAAAAGATAAATAAAGCAAAATGAAGACTACAGAGCTCACACCATACACACATACACACACACATGTGCACACACACACATGCACGCACACGTGTGCGTGCACCCCCCTGCCCAGGTTGGGGGGGGAAGAGACGCAGCTGTCCCATGTTTGGGGCCCAGCTGGGGTATTTGTTTCCTGGCTGATCTACGAAGGCCAAAGTTCAAGACTCTGGTCGTGGTCCCAATGGACTTTCTTTCTTCTCCCAGTCCAGGGCCCTGGGTGACCTTGCCCCAAAGGGGCAGCCAGCCAGGGACAGGGGAAAACAGGATAAGACCCCGAGGAAGGGCCTTATTGCCCTCTCCCTACTGTGGGCTAGATCTACTGACTCGCTTGCTTGTTGTTTTGTTTTCAATGTTTGAGACATGGTGTCATGATGCAGCCTAGGTTGACAATCCTGTCTTGGCCTCTAGTTCTGGGATTTCAGGTGGAACCAGGGATTGAACTCAGGCCCTTGCGCTTGCCAAGCAAGCACTTATTCTACTGAGCTATCTCCTCCCTGCCCCAAGAACCGGGGATTGAACTCAGACTCTTACGCTTGCCAGGGAAGCACTTGCCAGGGAAACGCTGATTCTACTGAGCTATCTTCCTTGACCTTTTTTATTTTCTAACGATTGTATCAAAACAAAAAGAATGTATGTATCTTCAAGCCCATAAACCTATAATCCCAATGCTGGGGAAGCTGAAGCAGGAGATCTCAAATTCAAGCCCAACCTGGGTGATTTAGTGACTTACTGAGATCGTATCTCAAATAGAAGAATGAGGAGGAGGAGGAGGAGGAGGAGGAGGAGGAGGAGGAGGAGGAGGTGGTGGTGGAGAGGAAGAGGAAGAGGAGGAGGAGGAGGAGGAAGAGGAGGAGACAAGCAAGCAGGCAAGCAGGCAGGCTAAGGATGTATTTCAGTACAAAGGTAGTCAATCCCCAGCACTGCAGGGGGAATCCTCCCTTCTAGCTATTCTGAAACACACAGGCACCACAATCAACCATAGCCCCACTACTGGGCACTCACTAGGACATTGGAATGTCTTCCTCCTGTCACCATTCGCCCTGTGACCAACCTCGTCCCTCTTCTCCCCCTCTAAGCTTTCAGTAGTAGGGATTCTACCCTCCACTGCAGAAGAGCAACTTCTCTTAGCGTTCCGGGTCACTAAGGTCACACAGTATTTGTCTTCCTGTGCCTGGCTGTCAATTTAATGGCCTCCAGCATCATCCCTTTCATTGCAAATGACAGGATTTCATCCCGTTTATGGCTGCATAGTATTGCATTACGTATCTGGACACACTGTATCTTTGGCCCTGCTAAGGGCGGAGTCCAGGGCTTCAGACACAATATCTAAGCGCACTACCACCAAGTGCATTCCCAGCCCTTCTTATTTTTCAGACAGTGGCTCACAGAGTTGCCCAGGCTGGACTCAAAATTGCAATCCTCTTGACTCAGCCTCCTGATAGCTTGAATGACAGCTACTATTCCCCCAAATTTCAGTGACGATGTATAAACAACTCTTTCTCCAAGAAGTAATTTCTGCTTCCCTGTGCTAAGTTAGAATTGTTCTGGCAGGCCAGGGAGATAGCGCAGCAGTGTAAGCGCCTGCCTGGCAAGCACAAGGACCCAGGTTCCACCCCCAGTAGCACATGCCACACCAGCCCCAGAATCCCGGGTGTGCCACACTGGCCACCGAAAGTGAGCATGGTGGAACAGCCTGTAATCCCAGTGCTGGGGAGGCTGAGACAGGAGGCCTACTACGAATCTGAGCTGCGTAGCGAGACCCTGTACCAAATAAATAGAATTGTCCTGGTCATTGCCCATAGTAGTGGCAGCTTGGAAGGCGGAGGCAAGAGAATTGCGGCGAGTTTGAGGCCAGTAAGTAATGAGTTCAAATCCAGCCTCAACTATACACTGAGGCACTGTTTAAAAACAAACAAAACCAACCGTCCTGACGCATACAAGTCCCAACCTTCCTATTTATAATGCAGATTCCTGGAACACACGGGGCAGGCGGCCCCGTGATACCGATACCGAAGGGTCCTCCGCATGCTAGGCGCCATGAAGTTCTCTGTTCCTGACACACGCTTTGATCCAGGATGTAAGCATTACGGTCATTCCCATTTTTTGTTTGTTTGTTTGAGACAGGGTCTCGCTATGTAGCCCCGGCTGGCCTCGAACTCACAACGATCTTCCTCCCACCTCAGTCTCCCCAACGCGGGGATGACAGCATGCGTCGCCACGCCTGTGCAAGGTCGTCCCCATTGTACAGAGCAGTAAACTGACGTTCCAAGAGGGGATGTAGGCTACCTCCAAGCAAGTTTTAAAAGGTCCGGGTCCTAAAGAGCCCTGGATCCCGAAGAAGAGGCAGGGCATGAAGGAGCAAGGAAGTAGGGGGACCGACACGTGCGGGGAGCGGGACTCGCGAGGCGGCCCCGCCCCCACGGGGGACGCGCAGACGCGGACCCCGCGCAGCGTGGGGACATGTGACCGACTGCAGAGGCAGCGCCGCCTCCCGCCGAGGTGCGCGCGCTCCGCCGCAGGGCGCACAGCCCCCACATCTTCGGCTTCCGACTGGCTTTGGGGTGCAAGAGCAGAGGCGGAGCCACGGCACCCAAAGCCCAAAGAAACGAAAGCGAAAGCGGGAGGGGTCAGGGAGGAGGGGCGTGGCCGGCTCAGGCTCCGCCCCCATCCTGCGCGGAAGCTCGGGCGGGCGGGCGCGCCCTGGCGGGTGGGGGGGGCGGCTGAACGCGCAGTGCGGACCCTCGCGGAGACCTGAGCCACCACCGCCACCACCACCATGTCTCAGGAAGGCGTGGAGGTAGGACATGGCCACGCCAGGCCCGGCCCCTGGGGCCGCGACGGCGCTGAGAAGGAATGGGGAGCAGCCTAGGATGGGAGGGAGGCTCGCAGTTCCTGGGGAGCCCCTACCCCGTCCTAAATCCAGATCACACCCCTGGGAAAGGACAGTGACTTCCACATCCACCTCCACCACCTCTCAAGAGAGGCGGCCTCCCCAAGAAGCTGGGGAGGGTACAGGGTCAGGGGTCAGAGGCTGTGGGTCACCTGCCCCCTCAACCGTAGGCTGGGGCGCTCGTCCCTGTTCGCGTCCCACCTACCCCAATGGCCCGGGGACTTTGGCTTTTTCCAGGAAATGCCACGTAGGGATGGAGGGGGTGGGGACTCAAAGGCCAAAATCAAGGGTCAAGTTCAGGCTTTGAGATGATACCTAGGGTGGGGGAGGGACAGTGGCACCTCGATTTCCCCTCCCCCACCTCGGTACCCCCACTCTGTCCCCGTCCCAGCTGGAGAAGAGCGTCCGGCGCCTGCGCGAGAAGTTTCATGGGAAGGTGTCCCCTAGGAAGGCGGGGGCTCTGATGAGAAAATTCGGCAGCGACCACACTGGAGTGGGGCGCTCCATCGTGTACGGTGAGCCGTGGGGTCCCCGGGCCGGGACAGCACGTGTGGTGCCGAGGGGGCGTGGCGAACGGAGAGGCCCGGGGAGCCAGGCACGGGGCTCCCTGAAACTCTGGACAGATCCTTCAGAGCTCCTTTCCTTCCTCTACCCCAGGGGTCAAGCAGAAAGATGAACAGGGGCTCAGTAGCGGCCTGGATGCCCAGGTAACCTGTCCCCTTCTCTAGAGGGAGGTCCCTACCCAGCCATGGGGACGCCCTCCAGCTCATCCTCAGCGTCATTGACTTTAACCGCGTTTCCAGGCGCACTAAGCAAACGGTGGGCTGGGCGCGGTGGGCGCCCATTACGTGCTGATTGCGTTAAGTGCGGGGAGAGAGCCAAGTGAGCAGAGAGGCAGGGAGCCCCGGTGTTGGTTGATGAATGAATGAATGGTGTCCAGGTGCAAGTTGGCCACGAGCCGCTTAGCCTCCTGGCCCCTTGGACTGGATTTCACCCGCCTGAAAAGGCGTCTTGTCAGCCTCAAAAGTCTGTGACGCACCTTAACGTTTATCCAACTAGAGGCTGTGGTGGAAATAACAGCAGAGGGGGGCACTGATCGGCCACTTCCACTTCCCACGAGGCAGGACACGGGATGACCAACTCCGTGGCCACAGGGGGCAGGTTTTGTCATTGATCGTTCCTATTCTACCGACAAGGAAACTGAGGCCAGAGCATGGTTCTTGAACTGAGGGGTGGCAGGTGGAATTTGAACCCTAGCTGCCTATCAGTCAGAACCTGGGTGTGCCCACCTTCCCACAGCTAGCAGTTGTAGAGGCTGGGTTGGAGCGTGTATCTGTGAGGCATTACATCTATGTCAAGGCACACAAGTCTGCAGGCAGAGTCCAGGTCGCTGCCGGCCACACTCGTAGCGTGAGCCAGGCTCTGAGCCTGTTTCCTCATCTGAGCAACAGGGTGATGTACGTCCACCTGCTCGGATACTTGAGGCTGCGCACCCAGCTTCAGAAAGCAGATGCAGCTCTCCTCAGCTCCTGGGAACTCGGGGGCACCCTACTGCTTTGTTTTGTTGGTTTTGGAGACAGGGTCTTGCTATGTAGTTCAGACTGGCCTTGAACTTACGTAGCCCAGGCTGGCCTCGAACTTGCAGCGATCCTCCTGCTTCAGCTTTCAAGTGCTGAGATTACTGGCATTCGCTACCACTTCCAGCACCCTACTCTTACATGAAGCCCGAAACGGCTTCCTATTTTGGAGCCCCTATGCATGGGCCATGCCCCCTACAAGCAGCTGAAGAGGTCTCCCCCAGTTTCTGCCCCCCCCATGTCTCCATCCAGGACCCCCCAGAGGATATGAAGCAGGACCAGGACATCCAGGTGTGTTGGTTGCCTTGGTACGGCCAGGGTGTGGGGTGCAGGGGGACACTGATGGTGGCGGGTGGGGGAAGTCCATCTGTCTGGAGCCGATACCCAGAAGGGCAGAAGGAGGCCAAGTTTGTCAGGAGGGTGTTTTTTTTTTTGTTTTTTTTTTTTGGGGGGGGGGGTTGGTGGAACTGGGGATTGAACTCAGACCCTTGCACTTGCCAGGCAAGTGCTTATTCCACTGAGCCATCTCCCCAGCCCCAGGAGGGTGTTGATGTGGGGGAAGATGGTGACATCTCCTGTTCCCACCCCACAGGCCGTGGCGACCTCGCTTCTCCCGCTGACAGAGGCCAACCTTCGCATGTTCCAGCGAGCCCAGGACGACCTCATCCCCGCTGTGGACCGGCAGTTTGCCTGCTCCGGCTGTGACCACGTGTGGTGGCGCCGCGTGCCCCAGCGGAAGGAGGTGACAGCCCAAATTTGATCTTGACTCCAGTCTGAATTTCACTCCCAACTCCCATTCTCAGCCTCAGCAATGGTCCCTTTGGTAGCCCAGCCATCGACCTCCAGCCCCAGAGCTCATCCTGACCTCCTGAGACCAGCCCTTGATGCACATGGGCAGTTTTGTTTGGTTCTTTTGAGACAGGGTCTCACTGCACAGTCCAGGCTGGGCTCAAACTGGAGATCTTCTTGCCTCAACCTCCCAAGTGGTGGGATTGCAGGTGTGCACCACAGTGCTGTGTTCAAAGCTAGACCTTTTTTTTTTTGCTTTTGTTTTGTTTTTGAGACAGTCTCACTATGTAGCCCAGGCTGGCCTCAAACTCAGGGATCCTCCTGCTTTAGCCTCCCAGGTGCTGGAATTACAGACATGCACCACCATGCCTTGCCTCAAAGCTGGACTTTTGACCTTGATTTGCTGAAATCCTTGACCTCTGACCTGATCCTGCTGCTGCGGCAGTTTGACAGCAACTTCAGAAATCAAACGTGGAAAGCCGGGGATAGCTCAGTGGCACAAACACCTGTCTGGCAAGCACAAGGTCCTGAGCTATCCCTGGTACCCCCACCCCCCAAAAAAGACAAACCTAAATAAACAGGGAGCCAGGAAGGGGCTCACACCCGTCATCCCAGCACTCTAGGAGACTGAGGCTGGAGGGCTGCAGAGTCAAGCCCAGCCTGAAGAACTTACCCTGTACCTAAATAAAACATTTTTAAAAGGCTGAGAGCCAAAGCTCTGGACTCACTCCCCAGCATAAAGAGAAGTCAAACTTGGCCCCCAAATCTGACTTTTGCACCCCCTGACTACTAAGTGCTGTGTTTGTGGCAAATGCTCAACCAGCTCCCTTGCTCTTAGTAGGAACCCCGATGGACACTGCCCCGGTATAACTGCCTTCTGTAGCCACCGCCAGCCACTGCAGTCCATTGCCAGTCCTGATTGTAATCTCAGCTGCCTCTGACCACCCCTGGTGGTCACCACCCCTCTCCACACACCCCCAGGTGTCCCGATGCCGGAGATGCCGGAAGCGTTATGAGCCCGTGCCAGAGGACAAGATGTGGGGGCTGGCTGAGTTCCACTGCCCGAGGTGTCGACACAACTTCCGGTGAGGGCCCCGCCCCATACCCCACCCACAGCTTTGGCCCCACCCCTACTCTCCCCTGCCCCAGACCCTCACAGCCCTGCGTGCCCCCAGGGGCTGGGCACAGATGGGGTCCCAGTCCCCCTGCTACGGGTGTGGCTTCCCCGTATCTCCAACGCGGATCCTGCCTCCACGCTGGGACACGAACACGGATCGACGCAGTACGCACACCCACTCCTGCTCTGCTGCTGACTGCTACAACCGGCGAGGTGAGGCCCTGGGGCGCCCCTGCCCTTGCATCTACAAAGTCTGGGCAGCCTGACCCTCTAGGTCCTCTCTTGTGGTCTTAAGGTGGTTTCAGCCAAGTGTGATGGCACGTTTGTAATCCCAGAATTTTGGGAGGCTGAGGCAGGAATATCTCTCATTCAAACCTAGTTTGGGTCATTCAGTGGCTTAGCCAGATCCTGGTTCAGAATACAAAAAGGTTAAAAAGGACTTGGCGACTGTGTGTGATAGCGCACAGTTGTCAAATGGGCATGTGGGAAGCAGGGACAGTACTGCCAGGTGGCAGAGGCCAGCCTGACCTACCTAGTGAATTCAAGCCCAGCCTGTACAATGTAGAGAAACTGCCTCTAAACCCAAAGGGGATTCAGGGGGAGGCATTAGATACAGCTCAGGGGAAGGGCCTTGGATTCAATCCCCAAAACTGTAAGAATTAAAACAAATATGGACAGCATGGGCTGCAGCAAAACCCTAAGTCAGGGGCCGGCCAGATGGCTTAGCCTAAAGCGCCTGCTTCGGCAGAGCACAGAAGCTAGCCAGGGTTCAATCCCAGGCTGCCAGCGCCAGCCCTGCCCCTGCCCCCGGGACGCCCTGAGATGGCGAATGAGACTGGACGTGGTGGCACGCACCTGTAATCCCAGTGCTTGGGAGGCTGAAAACAGGAGAATCACTACGTGTCCGAGCTATATAGTGAGACCTGTACACCCTGTAGATCCTGTCCTAAATTCATTAAAAAAAAAAAAACTCAAAAAAAAAAACTTTTTTAAAAATATGGAAGCCTGGGGCTGGTGAGATGGCTCAGTGGTCTAAAGCACCTACTTAGAACAAGCTTAGCAAAGCAAAGGGACCACGGTTCAATCCCCCAGCATCACATGCCAGCCAGCCCTGCCCCCTGGTGGGCTGAGCTGGCCACACACACACACACACACACACACACACACACACACACAAATAAAATAAATTTAAAAAAAAAAAATATGGAAGCCTGGCAGGCATGGTGGCACATGCCTATAATCCCAGCTCTTGGGAGACTAGAAGAATCACTGAGTCAAAGCCAGCCTGAGCTACATAGTGAGTACAGGACCAGCCTGGTCTACATAGGAAGACTCTGTCTCAAAAAGGAAAAAAAAAAAAAAAACAGAAGTGTCATTCCCCTAACTACGTGGTCTCCCCTACCTGTTCCCAGGGTCACATGAGACACACAGGGCACCTATGGTCTGCCTGTATGCCTGCTCCATGTGGCACCCCATCCCCTATGGCCTCAGGGTCTGAGCTCTGCAGTTCCTGGCCTGGCCTGTGGCCTCAGCCCCTTCTCTGTCCCCAGAGCCCCACGTGCCCGGGACTTCCTGCGCTCACCCCAAGAGCCGCCAGCAGAACCACCTGCCCAAGGTCCTGCACCCCAGCACCCCCCACATCAGCAGTGGCTCCACCGTGGCCACCTGCCTAAGCCAGTGTGGGCTGCTGGAGGACCTAGACAACCTCATCCTGGAGGACCTGAGGGAGGAGGACGAGGAGGAGGAGGAGGCGGAGGTAGCGGCGGCAGCGGCGGCCGGGTCCCAGGAGTGAGCACGCCAGGCTATGGTACTGTGTTCTTAGCAACTCTGAGCTCAGCCCCACACAGAAATGCCCTCGGGAGCCATCGGGGCCTGAGATCTTGGCGGGGGGCTCCTGGGCCCCATTTTCAGAGGCCCTGGGAAGAGATCTCGAGCCTGGGGAAAGGCTGGAATGGAACTGTGCCACAAGGGATGTGTGGCTAGTTCACCCTGGACCTTGGGGACCAAGGGACAGTCATAACCTCACAGGCCGGATAAGCATGGCAGCCTTCTTGAGCGAGTATGCCCCACCGCGGAACTCAGCCCAGTAGACGCCATCCTGGTAGCGGCTTCGGTAGTGGCCACCACGGTGCCAGACACCATTGAGGTTGGAGTGGGCACAGGCGTGGTACCACCAGCCTCCACGCTGGTACAGGGCACAGTTTCCTGAGGAGCAAGAGAAAGCCTCCCTTAGTACATCCTAGTGCAAGGCTTCTGCTAGGCATCTCCTGCCCCCTCCTTCTTGCATATAAACCCCGATACCTCCTCACCAGAATAAAAGCTCCCACTTTCAGAGTAACAGCCTTAATTCCTCCGCTATCTCCTCAATGAAGTACAAGTCATGCCTTTCCTGTATTTTCTGCCCAGCAGAAGTCTACTTATTCCTTTACAAAACAAATTTTCTGTTTCCTTTCTGCAATAAGTCTGGGCTGCAATACAGCATATGCTTTTAGCATGCACAAGGCTCTAGATTTTAAAAAAAGTTCCTAAGCTGAGTTGTAGTGCTGCACGCCCATAAATCCCAGCATTTAAGAGGCTGAGGCAGGAAAATCCCTGCCAGTTTGAAGCCAGCCTGGGCTACACAGTGAATTCAAGGTCACTACATAGCAAGATCTTGTCTCAAAAAACAAACCAAAGGACCAGGGATATAGCCCAGTGTGGAAGCACCTGCCTGGCAAGCCCAAGGTCCTGGGAGTTTGATTCCCAGCACCAAAACAAACAAAAATGTTCTACCTCTTGCATCTAGCATCTACCTTCCACCAGAAGGGATTTTTTTTTTTTCTTTTTTTTTTTTTGGCGGAACCAGGGATTGAACTCAGGCCCTTGCACTTGCCAGAGAAGTGCTTATTCCACCGAACCATCTCCCCGGCCCTAGAAGGGATTTTTTTGTTGTTGTTGTTTTTTGTTTTTTTTTTTTTTTGCAGAACCGGGGATTGAACTCCGGCCCTTGCGCTTGCCAGACAAGCACTTATTCTACTGAGCCATCTCCCTGGTCCCAAGATTTCTTTTTTTAGGTCTCACTATGTTCATGCTGGCCTTGAACTCACTTTATAGCCCAGGCTGTTCTCGAACTCACAAGGATCTTGCTGCCTCAGCCTCCCAAGTGCTAGGATTAGGCATGTGCCACCATGCCCAGCAGAAAAGGATTCTTAACTCCTTGGCCTCTTCAGAGAAAGAATATGGGTTGTCCATCCCCTTACCAGAATAAAAGTCCCCCGTTGCTTGTTCTCTTATAAGAAGTTTCCTCACTCTAATGCTTACCAGAGGGGAACCTCACCCCACCCCCACTTTCGATTTCCTTACCAGGAATCACAGTACACTGTCCTCCCATAAAATAGCAGCTCTCCTCACCAGAATAGGAGTCTCGGTCCCTATCCACTGTGCTGAAGGGCTTGTCGTTGTGCCAGGAAAGAGAATCTCCAGCATCTCCATGGTACTGGCCAAGCCGCAGGCGGTAATGGTCACTCTCGGGCTCCAGGGAGAAGCTGTCGTAGTGAGCGCGCGCCCCGCGGCCCCCCCAGTCCTCCAGCAGCACCAGCAGCTCGTGGTCCCCGCGGCTGGTCAGCTGGTGCACAGGTTCAAGGCCCAGCCAGTACTCCCCGTCAGGCCGCCCAAAGCCCACCTGCAACAGGATGTAGCAGTCAGGGACCAGTGCCCAGCCCTCCCCGGCCCTGCCTCTGCCTGCCCCACCTACCTTGTACTGCTGCCAGGTGGTGAAGAAGTTGACCAAGCCATCCTGTCGCCTCTGGATCACCGTCCAGCCACCCCCCTCCACCTGCTGCTCACACCACGCAGACACCACACGACGGCCGAGGCGCAGCTCGTATACCCCACTTTGCCCGTGGCCCGCCTGGTGGGCCTCAGCACAGTCCTGCCACGGGCCTGTGAACACAGGGACGTGGGAGAGGCACAGCTGGCCCAAGCAGTCCCTCAGAGTAAGACTCCTGATTCCCTCTGATCCCTTCACCAAACTAAGAGTCCTTTCTCTTCGTTTCCCTCACCTGAGTAAGAACATCAATTGCTATTTTCTTACCAGCACAAGACTCTTTTAAGTCTCTTGTCTCTCACCAGAGCAAATGAAGAGTTTGGACCTCTTAAACCCAGGCTCTGTGTCTCCTTACCAAAATATAAGTCCTGCTGGTACTTTTAACCACTTTCTCACAAAGGAGCACTCGGTACCAGGGATCGAACTTAGGACCTTGCACTTGCCAGGCAAGCACTTATTCTACTGAGCTATCTCTCCCTGGCCCTCAAAGGAGCCTCTTAAATCTGCTGTCCCTTCAGAAATTAAGAGTTCTTTCTCTACTAATTTCTCCTTTTGCTATTTTCATAACATCATAAGTTTGGCCTTTTTGTTTTGGTTTTATGTAGTACAGGGGACTCAACCCAAACCCTTGAGCGTGTTGGGCAGGCACCCTACCAGCCCCAGCCTAGAGGTGCATCTCAGCGCTGGTGGTGGTATCAGATAGGAGCCCTACCTCCCTGTTCCATTATCAGAATAAGAGCATCTTTTCTTCTAGGCCACTTACCTAAGAGGAATCCAGCTGTTTATTTCTTGCTACCCATAAGCACTGGGGATACTCGCATCCCTAACATTCTGCTGCCTCTTACCTGCCGGCTTGGTGGGGCTAGCAGGTTGCCCTGTGAGAGAGGGGGAGGCCAGAGGCCCCTGCTGTCTCAGCGTCTGGTCTCTCTGGGACTCTGGTGCTGGGTCCAGGCTCCTGCTGGTGTTACTGGTACTGCCCACCAGACTCAAGGGAACCACAGGCACCAGGGGTGGGGGCAGGACCTGGGGTGACAATCAGAAATGCAGTTGCCCTAACCCTCATTTGGATGGGGGAGTCACTCTCTTAGTACTCAGATAAACAGGAAGTGCTAAACTGACTCTCCCCAGCCTAACTCTTGGCTTTGGAAGTAAAGAGATAGCTGGGCTGAATCCCACGAGGGAGCCAGGCACCCTGTGGTGATGTATGCATGCAATACCAGCACTAAGGCGCCGGGGAGATGGCTCAGTAGACCCTGAGTTCAATCCCTGGTTCCACAAAAAAAAAAAACAGCACTAGGGAGGCTGAGGCAGGAGGATTGCAAATTCACAGGCAGGCCTATATAACATAATGAGATTCCATCTCAGAAAAAGGATTCTCATAATCCCATTCTGGAGTTCACAGCATAATTGTTCTATGTCTCCATCTCCCTATCTGCAAGTGGTAATAAAAGCACATGCAACTTTTAACATTTTATCAACTCTCTAGGGACTGTCACACAGCAACGATCTCTTCCCAAAACCGGGCCCAGACGTATTCTAGAGATGGCGATATAGGGTACATTTGGCCTTTACATGATGAGAACCTTCAGTACAGAATTCTAGGAATATTCACCTTAAGTGGATGCAGTTAAGACTATTCATGGCCACCAATCACGTTTGGACCCGAATAAGCAAGGCAGGGAGGGGTAAGAATCTGGTTTGGGTCCTACCCCCACCCCCACTCCCTCCCCCGCCCCCCCACCCCGGATTTCGGAACTGCGGATAAGAGATCGGGTTGCAGGTCGCCAGCTGCGCAGGGCATGCGCACAGCGAGCGGCTGCTGAGAAAAGGCCCCGCGGTTACCTGCTGCTGCTCTCCCGCGCCCCCGGGACACAGGCGCTCCAGACGGGCGATGAGGTCGCCCTGCTGGCTGACGAGCTGCGCCAGCTCTTGGAACTTTTCGTCCAACTGGTGGAAGCGGGCGGCGGCGCGCTGCGCCTCGGCGGATGCGTTCAGCACGCGCTCGCCCAGCAGCTCCAGCGCTGAGGCAGGTTCCACCCCGAGGTCCGCCCCCCGGCTCGGCCCCGCCCCCGGACGTGGCTCCGCCCCCCGGCTCGGCCCCGCCTCGTGCTGCAGCTGAGCGCGCAGCTGGCCCAGGCGCGCGCTCAGGCCGCGGCTCTCCTTACGCAGCGCGCGCACCTCGCCGACCACGGCGCCGTCGGCCGCCGCCAGCCGCTGCAGTTCGCGCAGCAGCTCCTCTTGGCGGCCCACGCGCATGCGCAGCGCCGCCAGCTCACTGGCGTTGACCGCTTCCGGCGCGGGCCGCGCGGCCCCGCTCCAGCACACCGCTCCTGTGAACTTCTGCGCAGGCAGCACGAAGGTGTAGGTGCAGCGCGGCGCGTCCGCCCGCGCCCACGACGCGCCGAGCATGAGCAGCAGCGGCAGCGCGCGCAGCCAAGGCACCGCCATGGCCACCTGCGGGGGTCAGATGGAAACAGAACAGACGGAAAGATCCTGTCCCAGAGAAGCGTCTCGGGCAGGGGCACAGCAGGCGCAGAAGCCCCGAGGCAGCGCCGTGCCTGATGCATGAACCGAGGAGGAGCTGCAGGAGCTCACAGTGCCCCCTGCTCTGTGGATGTGCAGCTCCTCACACCAGAGTGCGCTGCACTTTGTCCACTCCAGATCCAGCCGCCCGCCAGGCCAGGGTCAGCTCCGTTGTTTAGAACTACATTCCTCCACGTCCCATAGATGACATCTGGACTTCCAGCTGATGCCTCCCAGGCTTCAGGGGATGCCTGCGAACATCCGGGGCCTGCACATGGGAACCCCGTGTGGCTCCCACGTTCCCTAGAGGAAAAAAGCTCAAGGGCCTTCCGGGCCTCACCTCCTCCCATACATCACCAGGCAAATGCCAGGCTTGCAGCCTTTGCACCTGGGGGCCTGAGCTGGCGCATTCTCCACGTTCTAACAAGCACCCTGTTCCTTGCCCACCCAGGGTTCAGAATTCCTAACACACTTGCAGTTAAGAGTTCACGCTCGGGCAGGGATGTAGCTCAGCGGCACAGCACCTGCCTGGCAAGCGCAAGGTCCTGAGTACCAAAAAAAAAAAGTTAATGCTCAAATCAGATGTGGCGGTGTTCACCTGGAACCCCAACCACTCAGGCTGAGGAAGAAGGATCCCGAGCTTGAGTCCTACCTGGGCAAGTTAAAAGCGTATCCCAAAAATAAAAAAAACACCAGACATTTTAAAGGGCCACGAGGGTCCGGGAGATGGCTCAGTGGAATAAGTGTTTCCCTGGCAAGCGCAAGGACCTGAGTTCAATCCCCAGTTCCGCCAAAATAAATAAATAAAATAAAATAAATTTTAAAACAGACATTTTAAAGGGCCACGAGGGGCCGGGAGATAGCTCAATGGAATAAGTGCTTCCCTGGCAAGCTCAAGGGCCTGAGTTCAATACCCAGTTCTGCAAAAATAAATAAATAAATAAATAAATGGCCACAGACATAGCGCAGTGGCAGAACACCCCTGAGTCAATCCCCAGTAAGAGAAAGAAAGGAAAAAAAGAAAGGTGACCCCTCCCTATCCTAGTCTTCGTTTGCCTATTTGTCCTCCTGAAATTACCCCATTTATTTATCACTTTTATGATCTGAATCCCCCCTATTAAAATATCAGACCGCTGAGGCCAAATCTGGATTTTGTTGGCTGGCTCAGGCTGCCTTAAGTGTGGGTCTGGTAAGGCAAGTGGAGCTGGGGAATGAAACTACGGTATCCTATGCCTGCCTGTGTTTCATCAGCAGGCACTTAAACAACTGAACTAACTGGCAGCCCCCCCCCAATCTGGATTTTAATTATTTATTTTTTTGTTTTGTTTTGAGACAGAGTCTTGCTATTGTAGTTTAGGGTGACCTTGAACTATGAAACCCAGGCTGGCCTTGAACAAGTGGCGACCCTCCCGCCTTAGCCTCCCAAGTGCTGGGATCACAGGCCAGGGGTGTGCCACCACACTCCCCTAGAGCCTGAGTTTCCAGGCTCCGTGTCCCCAAAGCCCCCAGGCCCTGGGTCTGTGTACCCCACCCCATCACACCATGAACTTCTGTTCAGGCAGCACCAAGGTGTAGGTGCAGTGCCACACGCTGACCTCATGCAAGCGCCTTCCTCGGACAAGGACACCATGGCACCCCATCCTGACCCTACAGGTCCCACGAGTCCATGGCTCTCCCACTGGGGAACACAGGGTCATTAGAAGGGGACAGGCACTCCGGTGTATGCCCACCAGCCCCTGGGAGCTGTGCCGCACCCACGCCACACACTCTGGTGGCACACATTCTGCGTCCTGCGGCTCCCATCAGCCCACACTATTCTGTTTATTTGTGCAACAAGCACCGCTCGAACACCTGCCCTGTGCCAAGAGCTGCTGTGGGCAGTAGGTGTGGGTCCAGCTGTCCCCCAAACAGACAGAATCCCCACCTTTTGGGTCTGATACTCTAGTTAGAAAACAGTAAGGAAAACCCAGTCAGGAAGCAGGACATGGTGGTGCATGCCTGTAATCCCAGCACTCTGAGAGGCTGAGGCAGTAGGATCTCAAATTCACGCCTGGCCAGGGTGACTTACTGACTTCAAACAGAGCAGGGGACCAGGGCAACGAGGTGACATGGGGCACAGTGTGCTGGTCTTTGCTCTGCTGAGGACTCAGGGTTCAACTCTAAATCAGGTAGGAGCCATACAGGGTTCCAGAGCTGGAGCAGGATGCAGGCGCCGCTGTTGTACAGCAAGTGTGGGCGCCCAGGGCTGGCAGCCTCTTCTCCCGTCCTCCCCAACACAGGTAGGGGCTAGACTCCCACTGCTGCCCCACCCCACTACCAGCCTGAAGAAAGGGAACCAAGTAAATAGGCTGAGGTCCCCCAAGAAGCAGATCCGTCTGCCCTCGCCACACCCGCTCACCTTTCACAGCCAAGAACCAGAGTCCTGTGGGGTTCACAGCAGTCTCACGCCAGCAAGGCAGCACAGGAGGGTCCCGCAGGGCCTCTGAGCTGGGAAGGAGAGGCTGAGAGAGAGAGAAGAGGCTCGCTCAGCGCCCCCACCCCCAAGCCCGGGAGAGGCGCAACTGTAAATATTTAGCATTTCCCACTGGAGAACTGAGTCCAGATCCCCCAGCCCAGGCCACCAGAGCCTGATAACCACAGGTCAGTGCCCCTGGCGGCACCATCCCCCACCCCACCCCCACATAGCCCTTGGGGCAGAGAGTGGGAGGTGGCAAACCCTGGTAGGGCCTTCCTGTGGGATGCAGGAGGCATGCAGTCCAGACACACAAAGGGACAAGGCAGACAGTGACAGCCACTTGCTGGGTCCTTTTTAATTTTTATTTATTTTGTATTTTAGGACAAGGTCTACAGGGTCTCACTTAGTGATCCGCCTGCTTTCAGCCTCCCGAGTGCTTGGATTACAGGCGGCACCACCACACCCAGTCTCAACTGCAGCCTCAGCGCACCCCAAGGGCAGGGCCCCAAGGCAGGCCTGGGATTGAACTACCAGCCCCTGGGCCGGCCTGCAGGTGCTTTAATCCTGAGCTATTTGGCCAGCCCCTTTATTTATTTATTTGGCCCCCATACAAGGGTCTCACTAAACTGCTAAATTGCCCAGGCTGAGTTGGAACTTGGGGATCCTCCTGCATCAGCTTCCTGAGTAGCTGGAATCGGAAACATATAGCTACACATTCTTTTTTTTTGTTTTTGGCGGAACCAGGGGTTGAACTCAGGCCCTTGCGCTTGCCAGGGAAGCGCTTATTCCACTGAGCCATCTCCCAGGCCCGACACATTCAGCTAAACGATACACATTTTTTTTTAATTTTATTTTTTATTTATTTATTTATTTATTTAGAGTGTGTGTGTGTGTGTGTGGCCAGCTCAGCCCACCTGGGGGCGGGGCTGGCTGGCATGTGGTGCTGGGGGATTGAACCGTGGTCCCTGTGCTTTGCTAAGCTTGTTCTAAGTAGATGCTTTAGACCGCTGAGCCATTTCACCAGCCCCCACGATACACATTTTTATCTCATTTAATCCCGGCAACTTAAACTGGCTTCTGTGAGTAGCCTCACTTTGTAGGAGGGAAAGCTAAGGTTCAGATGTGAGACACTCGCTGCAAGCAGACAGCCGGAAAGCAGCCGTGAGAGCTTGGCTTCCTGGCTCCGGAGCTCGTACACACTCGTGCCAACAGCTGACCTAGCAGGCAGGCCTCTGCACAGAGCAGCTAGGACAGACGGAAGGGGTCTATGCCTGGCGCACACACAGGTACGCGCACAGGCAACCTATAGACATAACCGGAAGACTGGATTGTAGTTGACCGAGAAAGTGCTTGTGTAGCACAAGGCCCTGGCTCAAAGGAGGGAGGGAAGTGGAGAGGGAGGGAGGGAGGCGGGGAGAGAGAGAGGACAAATACAACAATTATGTGTCAAAATGCAACTACAAGGGGTGGCATGAGAGCTTAGCAGACTAAGCACCTGCTCAGGCAAGTGCAGGAGCCAGCGTTCAGATTCCCAGGTAGGGCAGGCCGTGCCCCAGGGTGGGCACTGAGCCAGAGTCTGGGCGTGGTAGCACATGCCTGTAATCCCAGCCCTGAGGAGGCTGAAGAGAGGAGGATCACTATGAGTCTGACCTGCACAGAGAGACTCTATACCAAATACATAAGAGTAAAATAATAAAATGCAGCCATGCATTTCTGGGCATGGTGGTGCACGCCTATAATTCTGGTTACTTGGAAGGCTGAGGCAGGAGGATTGCCAAGTCTGAGCTCAGCCTGGGCAGCTTAGCAACTTAACCAACAGTTGAGCTTGCCTCAAAAAGAACAACTGTCTGGGGATATAACTCAGTGCAGAGGCCCTGGGTTCAGTGTCCCAGGATAACAAAATATACTGTATGGTCACACATTCAGCACAAGTTATAAGAGGATAGCCCTGATTTAAAAGGGGTTCCCCTGCAGGCTGAGGGCCAGCACAGAGACAGCAAGCAAACACACAGCGACACCCACACCCAGGACCCCCGCGGCCAAACGAGGAGTTTCCAACAGTCTCCCACACATGCAGTCACATTTTTTGCATAAGCCAAACCACACACAGAACAGAAAGAAATAGCACTTATCTCAGAGAGACTCACTGCGCCTGAGCCCAGCCTGGCAGACAGCAGCTCCGGCCGAGACGTGCTCTCCTCTCCTGCGTCCTGCAGAACTCAACTCCAGAGTAACCCGAGCAGAATCCGGAGCCCAGAAAGGAAAGAGAGGCTGCCAGGCTGGGCTGCCGGCCTGCGCTGAGGCCCCGCACTGGCCCCCACGCCAGCCCCCTCGGGCTCAGCCCTGGCGGCTGGGAGAAGACTCCGCGGAGGAAGGGAGGGAGAGACTTCAGGAGGCTGGAGAGAGACAGGCGCACAGGAGGAAGATGGAAATGTATCGACGGCAAGAGACAGGGACAGGCGGATGCGGTGGCTCGAGCCTGTGATCCCAACACTGGAAGCTGACGCCGGAGGATCGCGAGTTCCAGCCCAGTCCAGGCACCTTAGTGACTTAGAAAGACCCCGTCTCAAAAAA